ACTTGGGCAAGGTCAGCCAGTTAAAAAAGACACTGGAGCCAGAATTCATGCCCAGGTTCCAAGTCCCTATGCTTAACCATCACCATATGCTGCCTGCCTCTGCACTGACAGTCTTGTGAGGTAACTTCCCTGAGAGGGGGGCTCCCTATCTCACCCTTCTTTCTAGCATGTTCAATCTGCTCCTCTTGCCTGGCCTTCTACTACTCTCCATTAGGCTCTGGTCTCCTCCACTCTTGGACCCTCTGACCTTCAGCAATTGTCACATCTCTCTTCTTCTTCTGCTGGGAAACTTCTCCAACAGCAACCTCCACCAGTGATCCTTCTCCTAGGCAGCTTGCACCCTGCCGGATGTCACTTCTAAAATCCCTGTTTCAGAGGTCACCCGTGACCCATTTCCTAAGTTCCCAAGGCCTTATCAACTCTCACCCTCAGTAAAGCACTTGATGCTGTTGCTCCCTGTCCCTGAAACCATCGTCTGCCTGAGGCCCCAGCTCCATCGGAGCTGTGTCCCAGGTCCACACACACTCAGAGGAAGCGTCTCTACTGCTCTACAGGGATGGCTCAGACAGTGTCTACAACCCTCACCTCTCCCTCAAACCTTGATTCCTCGTTTGTAGCTGCTTCCAGAGTATCACAGCTCACATCAAATTCACGTTAACACCACAGTCACAGCGTTTCTTCCCAGCACAGGGCCTGCCCCGGAACACATTGTTTCTTCCTGTCTCACCGTTATTTACTGCTCTTGCCCCTGTCCTGCCTCAGCATTTTGTAAATTTCTCCATTTGACATTTGTTTCTCTGTATTACGGTAAGAAAGTTTCCCTCCACTGTTTCATAAGATCTTGAGGAGACATCCTGTAATACCCCAGTGTCAGGCCAGTATTTCTTCACGGTTATTTACTGAATAAATGAAGTGATCATTCTTTCAGTCTGAAACCTTAAAATCGTATTTGACTTTCTTCGTTTCTCCCCTCCTCTGTCAAATTACTTAGCACATTCTGGTTTTCGTTGCCATTTCTTTCCACCCCCCTGGGCACGCTCCAGCTCAGACCCTCACCTATCAAGACTGAGTCATTCAACAGTCTTCTCCATGCCCAGCCTCTCTCTATTTTGCCTCCTTGTCAATCCACTACATTTACAGCTGTGATGTTATCATTCCATTTCCATCATGGAGCTCTCTGGCTTGAGAATCCAGAGTGGGCCCCTATTGACTACCTCAGATCTAAGCAACAATGCCCGCCTTTCTTTTCTTTACTTCTTCTACATTACTGGGTTGAAAAAATCAAATGAAGTACATATCAGCTATGCAGTGGGGAAGAAAGCAGCAGCTCTAATCTCTCTTCCTCCAGCCAATTTCCTCATCCAGAGGTAACCAATGTTCTCTCTACTCCTGAAACATGAATCAACAGAGCAGTTTCCCTTTGTATGTTTATTATTTACAAAAGCAGGCTCCATTATACACGAACTTTTCTGTAAGTTACTACTTTGCACTTACCAAAAATCACAGCTCTCTCTCCAGGTCAGTGCTTATGGATTAAACTCATTTTTTGAATGGATGCATAACATTCCTCAGAATGCATAGCCTATAATTTATCCAGCCATCCTTGTAAGTTCTCCTACTAATGGATAAGTGGGTTGTTTTATTTCATTTATTTGTTTTAGTCCATTATTTTAAAAAGGTGCAATAAATATCATGCACATCTTGGTACATATTTCCATCATACAGTCTTCTCAGAAGACATTGTCAGTTTACAGTTGGAAAATATAAAAATCCATGCACTTTTAGTAAGGCATGATGATGCCCATTTCTCTAAGTGCTTGTCACCAATGGATCTCACAAGTCTTTTATTTTTACTGAGTGAAATAATATACCTCATCATTGCTTACATTTCTCTTTCCCTGACCAAGAATGAGGGTAAGCATTTTTCCATATGTTAGCCTCTTGCATTTCCTCTTCTGTAAATTCTTATTCACACCCTTTACCTATTTTTCTTATTTTTAAAATTTTCACATTGATTTGTAATCGCTTTTTGTATACTTAAGTTATTAACCCCTTTACCCCTCTTATCTGTTGCAAGTATTTTCTTTTAGCTTATTTTTACTTTGCTGGTGGTATTTTTCCCACATATAAGTAAAAATTGTGGGTAATCCCACCAGTTATTTGGAAAGAGTTCCAGTGCCTCATGGCCTGGTTGTGATTCCTCACGGAGCCTCACATCCTGGTCGCTCTGAGCTCTCCTGTCAGTGGAGCTGGTTCCTCCTGGGCCCTCACTGGGCTCAGCCCCTCCCGGCCTAAGAGGACGTGTCCAGCCTCACTTCTGTGGCCTGTTCTGCACCCTGGTCATGTGTATTCATGAGCCAGGAGGGCTCCCTTCTCCAATTAACGCCTGCCCCAGCTAGACCTGTCCCTTAGGTGGAAGTGAAAAAAACAGAGAGATGAAACATCTTTTTGATAGCTATAAAAACCACAAAAGTGAGGAAAGGACTGCTTTTGATGAGTAGTAAATAATGTTCTGCATTCATGAGCAGATCTATAAGTCTACTTCTGAGACTACATCTGTTCTCTATTCAACATTTTCCACCTTAACTTCTCCCTAATTTATTTTTATTTTTTAATTTTTTTTTTTTGTGAGGAAAATCGGCCCTGAGCTAACATCCATGCTAATCCTTCTCTTTTTGCTGAGGAAGACCGGCTCTGAGCTAACATTTATTGCCAATCCTCCTCCTTTTTTCCCCCTAAAGCACCAGTAGGTAGTTGTATGTCATAGTTGCACATCCTTCTAGTTGCTGTATGTGGGACGCAGCCTCAGCATGGCCGGAGAAGCGGTGCATCGGTGTGCGCCCGGGATCCGAACCTGGGCCGCCAGTAGCGGAGCGTGCGCATTTAACCGCTAAGCCACGCGGCCGGTCCCCAACTTCTCCCTAATTTAAATGTTGGTGAAGTAGTACAGAAAATAATATTCAGGGGCTGGCCTGGTGGCACAGCAGTTAAGTTCACGCGTTCTGCTTCCATGGCCCGGGGTTCGCCAGTTTGGATGTTGGGTGTGGACCTACTCACCGCTCATCAAGCCATACGGAGGTGGGGTCCCACATAGAAGAACTAGAAGGACCTACAACTAGGATATACAACGATGCACTGGGGCTTTGGGGAGAAAAAAAGAGGAAGATTGGCAATAGATGTTAGCTCAGGGCCAGTCTTTTTCAAAAATAAATAAAATAAAATAAAATAAAATTCAAAGATTCAAATATGTTTTGACAAAGAAAAATATAATAGAACTGTCCATTTATAAATTTTCTTAATCCAGCTTTTTAAAAAAATTGTTTGACTTATTTTTTAAGGTGAGGACAATAGTAAAAGAATCAAGAACAGAAAATTAGAGAAGCTTCTGTCTACAAGAGATAGAGTGTGTCATCTGTCAATGACATTTGTGTTCAGGGGAGATGAAATACACTATTCCACAGAAAATTTCCAGAAATTAAAATGGTTCAGAAATTATTAAGTGGGAAATATATATGAATTTCAGAGCGAGAGGGCTGGGCTTGGAATTTTAAAGATGGAATTTAGTATTTTCCACTTACTGGGTCTCTTCCCTTTTGAGCCTGGTTCCAGCATCTGCACAAACTCTACAGTAAAGACAATGTTCTCCCTACGCTTAATGTGGAGGTCGGAGGGATGGGAACGCTCACCACGTCTGCAAGAACTCTGTAAACGGTCAAGTGCCCTCAGTGTACGGAGTGACTCCGTCAGCCCCGAGTAGTCCCGAGACTGTCATTTCACCGGGCTGTCCTCACTAGGCTGTCACTATTGCACATCTGTTTGTATGTTGGCATGTCCTTCTCAATAGGAGAAACACACCACCAAATGAGACACACCCTCATTGGAAGGAGCTTTCAGAGGGCAGGAACTGAAATAAAACACACCCATAGAAGAAGAGTTCTCCAAAGGATAGGGAGACAACCTAAAGAAAGAGCATGTAACAGGAAGGCAAGAGAGGAGAAAATTCTAGAAGGGGTGCAGGGAAGGAAGGAGTATTGTGACCACAGGGCTTTGAAAGGGGAGAAATGGGGGCCGGCGCCGTGGCGTAGTGGTTAAGTGCACGTGCTCCACTTCGGTGGCCCAGGGTTCGGACCCGGGCGCTCACTGACGCACCGTTTGTCAGGCCATGCTGTGGCAGAGTCCTGTATAAAGTGGTGGAAGATGAACACGATCTTAGCCCAGGGACAGTCTTCCTCAGCAAAAAGAGGAGGATTGGTATGGATGTTAGCACAGGGCTGATCTTCCTCACAAAAAAAAAAAAAAAAAGAAAGGGGAGAAATGAATGCAGCTTGTTGGTCTTAGATTGATCCCTACTGGGAAATGGTCAAGCGTAGGTGAAATTGTCTTGCTGGGATCAATGTATGGAAGTTTCATCCATTGGATGATGAGATGCGGGACTGGATGATGCTTAACACCCCTTCCACCTCTGACAATGTCTGGACTTGGTGCTCAGGAGACTGATGGTGGATTTCTAGAGAGAAGTTTCAGGAGGAAGGCAGGACAATAGCCAGACTTCCATAGACTCTGCAGTGGACTGGCAACGAGGAAGGCACTGCCCAGGACTGGCCCCAAAAGGACAGAGATGAGAGAAGAGCCTGAGCAGGGCTGAAGGAAACCTCTCTCTCTTTCTTTTTTTAAATCCCAGGATAGGGTCGATCCACCGATCAGAGAGGGAGAGGTGATAGATTTGAAAAGAGGAGAAGGCAAAGATGGAGTAGGTCCCTCGAGCAGGACGTAAGGAAGATGGAAGAGATGTGGCTGCAGAAAGGTCTGAGGAGGGGAGTATAAGGGAGCAGTTTGCCGACAACGGTGGTCCAGACCGGACGCCTAACCCACGTCAGGAAACGTGCATGCTGGTCAGTCCTTTACACATGCACAGAGTACACAACCTTGCTGTGTAGACAGGGCTGTCCCACCTCAGTGTGGACTGCACACAACCCAGGGGCAGGGAGGCCACACTTTACCTTGCAGGAAGTCTTCTCTCCTAGGAACGGAGGCAGCGTGACTCCGTGGTCAGGACACACGCCCAGCGTCAGGGGTTCTCTCTAAGCTCTAATCCTGGTCCTCCCCAGCTTGGGATTGTGGCGAAGTCACTTAATTTCTCTGTGCCTCGATTTCTCCATCTGCAAAATATAAACCACAATATAAAGCACCTAATGATTTCATGACCCGATTAGGAAGAAATGTAAAAAGAGGGCATCCCCTTTGCAGCTGGCAGCATGGACCCTTCAGCTTCCTCCAGGGACCAAGTGTCTTCTGTCCTATCCAGGGACAATGGTTCCCCTTGAGAATTATTCTCCTAGACATGGGGCTTGCTGTTTTGGCTCTGAGAAAGGGTATCTCCTGGGACTTGCTCAGGTGGTCCAGTCTGGGACAAGCTCTGTCTGGGAAGTTTTGTTCCCTGCCAGCTAAGTCAGCTTTGCAGCCTGTGAGATATTCTGTGCTATCTGAGAAGGTTCTAGAACTCCTGGTTCCCATGGCCCAATATCCCTCCAGGCATCCTTACAGAGACTCTCCTTCCTAGATATGGGCTGGAATCAGCCTACATGGCAGCATGGCAGTTACCAACCAGAGTTCACATGTGACCCTCATTGAGTCTTTGATTTCTCCAGGGACTTCAGGGGCTATAGGACTAGGCTGGTCTTCTTAAAGTTTGTGGAGCTAGAAGAGTTTATGAAACATTATTTTCTTATCTATTATGTCAGTTAGTCTTCAACCAAACTTTATGCTAATTTTATGAGTAAAGAAATGGACACTCAGAGAAGGTGAAATATTTCCTCAAAGCTACCCAGAAAGCCTGAAGGAGAGCCATAATTGAAACTGAACTCTCTCGTGTGCAAGTCTAGGACTCCTCCCAGTGTAATAAGGCCTGTGCAAATATACTCCCAGGAAGAACCTAAAGGGCTAAGACCTGGGACAAGGAATTTGAGTCCCAGTGGTCCTGGATGAGCCCTCGGGTTGTGGCTTTGGGTGAGTTCCCCCTAAAAAGCTCCATGGATATTCATTCAAAGGGGTTCTTTCATTCAAAAGGATTCAGTGCATCTTGCTTGTGTGGTTTACTGGAACTAGAAATCTCGAGGCTGTTTTACACCTCCACAGGTCAAGTGAACTAAGAGCCTGGCGATGCTTTGAGGTGATGCGTCAGGAATGGACATTTCAGTTAACCTGTTTAACCTGGACAACCAGCACGACACTTACAGCAAGAAACTATTATATCATCTTTCTTCATAATTCTTCATTTGAGCAACAGGCAACTCGGTGGTTGAATTCAATAAGAAACAAAGGGAGTCACTAGGGTCATTTTCCTCAGAACTTTTTTCTTTGTCTGCTTCAGTTTACCCTTGGAAACTGAGCTGTAAACCCTTTCCTTGTACACCCAATTTTCCCAAGGGATGACTTCATCCACAGACAGTGACCAAGTGTTTGAACATGTGTGCCTTGCCAAGAACACAAGGATATAGACCACGGAAGATTTAAAATCATAAATTACCAGAAAGAGAAAGGAATTAGACCAGATTTGTCTTTTTTCTTTTCAACTTTGCCATTTAAAGTGAAAGAACGTCTCCCCACCTCCTCCTTAGGATTTAATGATTTCCCTTAAACTTTACTCTGAGCTCTTCATCTGTCTTATGGCATAACCCTCTGTGCTGTGCACACCTCAGGATCTGGGACAATTTCACTCGCCTTTGTGTCTTAGGTGCCTGCACCTACTGGCTGGTCAGTATGGGTTTGTTGATTGGATGACAAAAAAAAGAAAAGGAAAAATAAAGGAAGAAAGAAAGAAAGAGAGCAGGAAGGAGGGAGGGAGGGAGGGATGAAGGGAGGAAGGCAGGAAGGAAGGCAGGCAGGAAGGAAGGAAGGAAGGAAGGAAGGAAGGAAGGAAGGAAGGAAAAGACAGCACCCCAGTGACCTGTGCAGGAGCAAATCTAATTCTAATTGATTGGATTACATTATACAAGTGACTTGACCAACAAGTAAAATGTTTAATGGTTGACCAACAAGTAAAATGTTTAATGGTTACAAGATTTGAAATCAGGCAGAATTGTGTTGTTAAAGCACTATTGCTTATTACCTCATGACCTGAGCTTTTTTTATAAGCATTGATTTCCTAGAATCTTTCAATCCCTAAATTAGATAATATACAAAAGGGATCTATCTAACTGTAAATGCTCAATAAATGGTTGTACATGTATAGATTATTATCACTATGTACCAATTTATTAACATAACTACATAACACCGCTGAGTTTCAGTTTCTCATTTATAACTGTGATGATGTAAGCAGCAGCAAAAGCTATATGCAGAGATTTCTGGCTCTCTAGATAGGAATGCCTTTAATTAATTCAACCAATATTTATTGAGGACTTAACTCTTCGGCACTCTGCTACACTTGAGTGACTCGGTATAAAACACGATAATGAGATATGGCTACATTAATTCAAAGGAAGAATAAAAGGAAGAACAGAGAGAAGTTAGGATCAACTCAGTTGCAATCTTAAATATGTGGAAAAAGTAATTTATTTTGGATATAAAGAAAAATAGAAAGAAGGAACAGAAAGAAAAAAACATAAAACCGTATGTTTGTGTAAAATAGATATTTCAGAGCCAGCATTAAATTTGCCAAAAAAACCCCCAATAATTGAGAAAAATACAACATAACCTACTAAAACTAAAACTAAAACATGTTAACATGGTGACATCATGTTCAGTTTTAATACCGTGTCACGTGCAGATGTTTGCCTTTTTAAAATAAATTCTTTTATAAAACTATAGTTATAAAAAGAAGCATTTTGTGAGCAGCTAATATTTAACTGAATGTTAGCAGTATTATCAAGAAATACATATACAAAATTTCTCACAATATTTAAAAATTAATTAAATTATATATTAATAAGTGAGAAGCTAACTGTTAATTATGGCTCAACTCACGTTCTCAGCATAAATTGGATTCGAGATTCTTATTTACCACAGTTGTCACATAAACCTGAAGCATATTCGTCCGTGGGTTTTGTGTTCTGTTAACAATGAAACCATGTTAGACAATGCTCCTTAAAAGAACAAATGGAAGAATAGGGATAATGCGATAGAGCACATTCTCTGTCTGAAAGCGGCGTGTCCCCATTATTTAATCAGAAGATGGCTTCGAGTGCCTCAGAACAGAATATTTATTGCACAAAGCCAAATGTCCCCTCACTGGGCAGGAAGGCACAGGCTGAGGTCCCACCCTGCTCCTCTGCAGGCTTCCCGGGGGCCTAGGAGCCCCCCGGGGCAGCCAGGATTCAGAACCTACCAGAATTCCTCTTCCTGGAAACTAGTGCATTTTTTTTCCTTAACATTAAAAGTCAGTGGCAGAAATTCCCTCTGGGAAATTTATTTTAGGAAATCAAGGTCTCAGACCTAATTTCTTTCTGTTTATTTTCTTTTGAAAAACCTGCCTTCACAAATGTCCACATGGAGAGCTTGAAAGGAAAAGAGATAGCCTGACCTGGGCACCACAGCAGGCATCACGGAGTGCCACCTGCCTGTTTCATCCCTCTAGACCCTAAGAGACTTGAGGGCAGGGGAACTGCTTATTTTTAGCATCCTGTAACAGTCTCCCTCCTGGATTTCTTCTCCATTTTGTTGACACTCAGCTGCAGGCATTTTTTCGGAATAAGGACCTACAAGAGAGGGTTCCGTCTGAGGCCATCTTGCATATCGAGAGTGTCCTTATTTCAGTCTCCAGCATGACATGCTAAGCGTAAATCATTTCTCTAAGATGAGGAAGCACTGCTTCCACCGTAGCACCCACCATTGAGGCCAGACTGATTCCCGTTCTGTCAGAAGCACAGCCTTCCTCTGTAGATAGCTCTCACCACCTTCTGTTCCTCCTGGTTTTCTGGAGTTTTCTGGGTTTGGGTGCAGGAATCTTTTCTTCATTCTTACTGCTTAGCACTCAGTGCATCTACACAACCTGAAGCCCACTGATCGGTGAGAAATTTTTTCTCCCTTCTTTGATAATTTCCCCTATTTATATTCTTTACTGCTTTTTTTTTAAAAAAATTCTATTAAATGGATTTGGATTCTCTAAATTTATCTTCCATTGATCTTAGCTTTCATATTTTTTTCACCTCTTTTTCTTTCTTCTCTATCTTCTGGTAGATTTTCTCAAATTTATCTTTGAGTTCTTCAATTGCATTTTAAAATTTTAAGAATCCTATTTTATACACCAAAATTAGTTTTTGTCACAGTGATACATTTGCACTTATTTTGTTGATTATTTGCCTTTACCAGAAGTTAGAGACCATGTCTCACCACTATGTCACTAACATCTCACACCGTGTGGCATAACAAGCACTAAAGTAATAGTTGATTGATAAAGAAATGGATGAAGGAAGGAAGAGGGGGGAGGCAGGCGTATCTGTGTGGGATCACTACCAGGCACTGTCCCAGTGTCTCTAATCTTCACAACAACTACATGAAGTGGGTGTTACTAACCTCATTTTGCAGATTCAAACAGAACCTGGAAAGACATTCAACGATGTGCTCATATTTGCTCAGTTGATGAGTAAGTCGGGAAATAAAGCACAGGGTGCCCTGCAGTAAAACAGTCCAGAATAGCTTGGTGAACAATGTGGGATGCCATGCGCTCCCTTTCTTGGGCACTGCCACTTGGACCCAGTGAGTCAGCTAAGAACGTGGTGTGGGGCCAGCTTGGTGCTCCCAAGACTCTTGGTGTGCACTTCTTCTTTCCTGAATGGGGGTCCCGGAACCTTCAGTTCCCCCTGCTCGGGAGCCTGGTTCATCTCTTATATATGGAACTAGTCTGGTAGCTTTCAAGTTTTTGAAAAACTTGAAACATTTGACATCTTGATCCAGCGTGCACGTACAAATTATGAATATTATAGAGAAAATTGAAACCACAACAGAAACAAACATTTCATAAAAAGACATTTATTCTTGAGTAAACTTGGAGTTCCATGTTGTCTATGAGGATATATTTATAAAAATGGTTTTCAGTAGAAATATTGAACATGACCACGCTAGCCATGGGAATTACTGAGAACCTACCTAGGCCTCCACGTCACCCCCAAATCAAGCCTACAACTGCCCCAAATGTGAACGTACTCTTTCTTAGTG